AACATTAAATTGGCAAGAAYTGAAGTGAGAGCTCCAACTCACCTTGCACACACATTGCTCSAACTCACATTACACACATTACTGTSTGTAATGGCACCACATTCTAAGGAACAGAAACCCCATCTTGCAACTTGGCAAGTGACATTCAACACACCATTAAAAATAACTTGTGTTAATTATCATTCCTGTAGATTACTTAGGTATTAAAAAATGTTTTTTAAACCTACATTATTTTTAACCAAATTTCATTAGGCATGTATGGGGATCCAATACAAAAACTAAAAGACAATATGCAAGAAAATGTTATAAATATGGAATATCGGAATCTCAGTGCTGGTGAAATCCTACTCAGTGATGTAGTACTGTCCACTGCTGTTAAAAATTCACAACCACAGCTCCTCATCTCTTTGGCACAAGCTTGAAAACGCATGTTTGAGATGTGGCTTARGTAAGGAAAAGTCATCCAGTTCACTAGGAAATGGGAATTAGGGAGCAAAGGTGAGGAATCTGAGGCTGCTGGGGGTGAAGAAGTTAAAAGACTTGGGGGATTTGCCTTTAACTTGCCTCACTGGCTGAGTATTGTCCAGTTCACAAAGAGATTTTTGCACCTCATCCCTACAACCCTCCCTGCCTCCCAGTTCTGTTTTAACCAGGAGTTAAAACAGTAGCTACAGGCAGCCAGATAGCACAAGGCTAAGGACAGGTGAAAAAAGCAGAAAATATTGGAAAAGGGTCTGAGCATGGAGTCATCCTGCAGAGGGGGAAGAACAGCAGTCCTGTTTGAGAACAGCTGCAGATCCTTTGGGATTTGTTTKCCAATTATAGCTACAAAGCCCATTAACAAACTCTGTTTAGGAGGGTTTTCCATTTAACTGAAAGATTTTCTTAAATTAGTAGCCATCAGTTCTTATTTGCATAGGGAATCTGACAAATTCCATGGATTATACTAGTGTACAGCCATCCTCCTGCAAAAAGAAGGGCAGCATGGTAATAKGGGGAGTCATAATCAGAAAAAAAAGGAGCTTGCATTAAAGCACAGCATATCCCTATTTTTCCTATTAAAACACCTTGTTGTGTGTTATAGTAGCAGTTGTTTTTTGRACTTCAGTTTGCTCTGCCAGTAAAGGAAAATTAATCTAGACGGGAGCATTGACAGACAGTTCTTAAAAGGCACTGAGAAGGTAAATAGTACCTTTTCATCAAAAGAACAAAGCAAATGCAAATAATAAAAGGAACATTTAAAACTAAGAAAAATAAATCTCTATTAACTTAAATGACTCAGGCTCAGAAGACAAACTGGATGCTTACACAGATAAAGGCATTTGTGCATGTTACAATTATGGAAATAACTTAAAATTKATTTTACCCCACATTTCAAAGACTRATTCAATCTCTGTTTAAGTAGGGCAGTGACTTCACCTATGCCTTGTGTGTCATTCCATGTACTTCAGCTGAGGCTTTTGGAGTTGGCCTCTTGTGCATGTGACTGGATCAGGAGAAACTGCTGCTAATTGCATCGCATTTCTCAACAGTGCTGCCAGCTCTGCCCACAAAACAGGAGTATTCCCAAGGATTGTGAGCGATGGCCTGAGCCTCAGTGGGATCTTTCCATAAAGAAGTGGTTTTGTAGACATGAGCACTCTYCCAGGCAGCTCCTCTGAATCTATCCATCCCTTGCACATAAGCACACACACAGCGGTTATTTTGTTGGTGCAAGGACAGAGAACCCCATATTGAACGTTTATTTCTGGAAATTCCTCCTCAAAAACATCACTTGGGATATTCTCAAAGAGCTAAAGGTATACACAATGATCTACTCCAGCATTTATCTACTGCTTAGGTAAGAAAAATTCACAATGTGATGTAGGATGCCATTAATGAACCTTGTCCTGCCTCAATCGGGGGAAGGCACAAAGAGCCAAAATTTAGAATGCTTTGACCAAGCTCAGCATCATCCACATTTAAACAGGAGATTGTGTCCTACAGGGACCATCTGCCCAAGCTTCAAGATGCCAGATTACTTACCAGGAATTGCAGCAACACATTGAAGAAGTTGCTTTTGATCTTTGTTCTTAAGGMATATCCTTTGCAGAATTCAGCTCTGTGGCACCTGAACCCTTGCTCTTGCCAGCATTGACAGTGCTCAGGTGCCTGTGCAATCCTCAGTGCACAAAGCAGGAGAAAGCGTTACCTGGATCTGKATCACCATCCTGTCCATCACATTAGGGATGGTATTAGAAAATAAAGGCTCTGGATGTTCTCTTTAAACATCCAGCTAGCATCTGGTCATTCGATGCTGAACAGGAGTATTAAAGTCTGTAGCTTGTTGGCCTTTCTGTCCCATTGGCTCGCTGAGAAGGATGGAGGTCTCCAGTAGTGTCACTGCGGCAGGAGCTGAGCCAGGGTGCCATCCCCGCCCCCGATTTTTGCATCCTCTGGGCGCACAAGGGACTCGTGTGTCCAAGTGCAGCAGGAACGGGGCACTAGAGGGAGCTCCGGCAGCACCGCCCACCTCTGAGCCCGCACCTCGAGTCTGACCCTGAGCATTTCCTTCTCAAGTTGGGAGGCTTCGGCGTGGCTTATTACTGATTAACGCCTGTGCACATTTGAATCACATTCTCAGAAATTCTTCTGCTGCTGCAAACTCCGGAATTGCCAGCATGCCCCATTTCTGCCAACAGCTCCTATTATTATATGATTCTAAGAACTGAGATTTAGCCTATGACATAAATGTTAATTAAAAAAAAACAAAACAACACAAACATTATGGATTATCTTAGTTTTAGAAAATCTGCTTGAAAAGCTTCACTGAAGTTTGAAAAATCTTCCAAATATTAATCTTTTCCCCTTAGTGAGATTCAACCCTCCTTTTTAATCARTAAACTCGCAGCTACCTATCAGGAATTAAATATTTAGCTTTTAAATAAATAAGAGACATTTAGGGAATAATGTGCTTATTGAGGAACTCTGAAAAAAAAAGGGACATGTGCAAGATTATTGCTTTCAGTTTATACTGTATGCTCTTTGCTGGCAATTGCTGTAACTAAAGCAAGTGGCAGAAGCAGCTTTTTTATTTTTAGAAAGACATCCACAGTGATTTATTAAGCCTCTCTGGGGAAGACAAAAGCTATCCTCTCCCAATATTTACTTGAGGAAGAATTTATTTTCAAGGCAAAAATTTAATAATTTCTAAATAAGAAGAGTCAGGTTTCTGTAAAAACACCAGGGCTCTTTTTGGAAACAAATACACCTCAGATATCTCCAGAGAACCCAACTCCATCAGACAATTGTGTTACTGTAATTCATTCACAAAACTGCTCAGGAGCCCCAGCAGTGGAGCAGACAACCCTACTTTATTGAAACACTAAATACCTTATATACATTTTCTGTATAGYTCTTTTAAATCTAATGAGAGGAAAAGCCCTGCTATCAAAACTCAGGGTTTATTTACATGTGATAGAAAAAGATTGCTCAATGGAGTGCTATGAACAGCAAGATTTGAATAGTGCTAGACCCCTGTGTTCCCCCTTCCCAAACAGATCGACCACAAAAAATCATAAAATACTCTTTCATTTCTTGCTGATCTAAACATGCTTGACTAAAATGTTATGTCATGAGAAAAAAACCCCAACAGTTATGCTTCTTTCTCCCACAGAAGAGCAGCTTACTCCACCAGAAAAGACAGATATCCATACTAGCTGCTAYTTTCACTCCATTTCCCTAACAAACAAGCATCTTACCTTGACTTTTTCTACTCTCCCTTGTTGMTGTTAGATACCTTCTCAAACACTTAGCAGATTTCAATCCTCAGTTGCACTGACCTCCTCCAGATGTGGTTTCCTGGTTTTCACAACATTCCAGAGTTTGAGGTGTCCTGTCCACTCTTCTTACCATCCTCTGCCTCCAAAAACTTCTTTCCCCAACAGCTATTTTCTCCTTTTCCAAATTCTCTTCACTGCATCACTTTCAATGCTTCTAATACTTTGCTCTTCCTCAGTAATTTGTTAACTTCACTTTTAAAACAAACAAGGAAACCATCCAGCCACCCTTATCCATGTCCTCACACTTTTCYTCTCCCCTCATGTTGTTCTTCCCTTGCCCAAGTATCTTCACTGTTACTGCCAGCTGAGTTCCATATAATTCCCTCTTCTCCCTCACAAATTTCTTTTTATCTCTTTCAATTGTTTTCTCTTCTCTCTCTGTTTCTGTTGTTTTACATCCCTTCCCCTTGTCTCTACAGCCTGCCTGCACTGTGAATCAGGACATCAGAATGTTGTGCTAATGTTCTTTTTTATTCAGYGTGGGGAATTCCTTTTGTTGATGTAAGCAAAGTTTGTGAAGCTTGTGTGATGAATGTGTGTTTTAATGTCGACAGGGTAATGAAATCTCCAATACCCTCATTCCCTTGATTTAGAATTCTTCCCAGTGTTCTGTATTCCCCAATGGAGCCTCTCAGCATCTGCCATCCTTGGCAAGAACTGCCATTGAGCGAACAGCTCTTTCCACTGCTCCACCTTCCTYCCTTCACTTTCTCTTCCTCACTGCCAACCAAAAATCTGTGGAGGAAGGGTAAAGCTCATAAACAGACAGAACAGCCTTCCCAAATAATTCCTCCTAGGAAGCAATGCRCAGGAATTTTCAAATTTATGTTCCCTAAATCCAGTGGAAATTAAGATGTATCTGCTGCTGTTGCAAGAAGRCAAACTCAGAGATCTATCAGAGAAATACAACTATTTCATCACAARAAAGCATTTCACGCACAGAGAATGGGAAGTGGCACTGTACAACTTGCTGGAGAGATAATTTTTGCTTACGTTTGTGTGGGAAATGCAAGAACCAAGAGACAAAGGGTCCTAAAGTCCCCAGTGCTCACTGTAAGAAATAACTGTATTTGTCACTTCACATTGTAAGAGAGAAGGCAAAGACTGCAAAGGCACTAAGGGGTTGTAGTTACAAGGTGACAAACCAATGGCTGCACGAAGAAAAACCACAAAACTACGTAAACAACCAAATCATTTAATTAGAAAGCAACAAACATGCAAACAGCAGGTATAGAAATTTATTTGAACCAACGTTTTTACTATAATGAAAGTTACTTTAAAACATTGATCCAAGCTCCCACATTTGCCGTTTAAGGAAAATATTGCACTTGGCATCTTCTAGCACCCCTCATACATGGCAAAACRTTTTAAAAACATTTTTGCTTATTTTAACTTGCACACTCTCCCCAAGTCATGCACACAGTCATTCAAAAAAAACAAAAGGTTAGGTTATCCAAAAGCAATACCTCAGAATTGCACTAAAGCTCTGTAAGGAAAAATATAATTAATGTCTTATACAAATTTCAGTGACCTCCAGGTGCTCACACACAACTGTTGGTTACTCTTCATCTTCGTTTTCGTTCTCCTGGCCAGATCCTTCTGATCTGTCACCTTCCAATCGGTCTGCAAAACACAGATTTTGTAAACAGAACTTGTGAAGTTTTTTTTCTGGTAAATATTTATAACATGCTGTCTCCCTGGGCTATTACACAATGGGAAATAGTTGTGGGTTTTATAGTAGGAGAAAGTCTGTGTGGACTGACAGCAGAGAGTGGGTAGAAATGTTACCACAGGAAAGGAGAAAAGGAGAAATGCCCTAAAGGATTTCCAGGCATAAAAGCGAAATCTGTGTACAAAAGGAGAAACCTTGTAGCTGTTGACTGGCTGTCAGAACAGAAGAGATGAATGCAAGCATAACATTAAAATGAGATGGTGAATACAAGGGACAGAAGTGCTCYGCTGGGAAGCTGAAACTGCAACAGCTACAGTTAGAAATTTGAATAGTCCAGAAACTGGGGATCACTGCTGTCACTTGGATACATCAGAAAAAATGCCTTTTGATGTAAATATTTAGAGAAGGGCAAATACAGAAATGTGTGAGGGAACACGACTGGCTTGAGGTCAATCACTGAAGCAACATGCACTGTCAGGTTAAGAAGTACTCCACCCAGCCRTAACAGATTTTTGCTGAAGTTGTTGTAACTCAAGTGTCAGGCAATTCTTTTAGTATTTTATTCAAAAGAGATAATGACAACTGAAGGAAACACAGCAGTGTGGAGGCACCACTGAGCTGGACACATGGCTCACAGGGCAGTCAGAGATGAGAGAGGAGCAGCAGCTCCACCAGGCAGAGCTTCCTTCCCACCTGATCACCATGAGCCACTGCTCTGCTCAACCAGGGCCCCCATGTTCGCTATCTCGAGTCACTTTCATCTTCACCTACAGGTCTGTTACATTTTCATCCCCTATGCCATGCCAGCCTCCCAAAACTTCACCTCCTTCACACTGTGTGATGTCTCCCCTTTGTCCTCCATCTTCAGAGTCAATCCACTGCACTCAACTTCTCCAGCACCAACATCCAGGAACACCAATTCCCAGGGATGATCCTCCAGGAAACCCTCTTATCAGCAGTTTCAGCCCCATGGCAACTAAAGGGACATCCTGCTTTCCCAGGAACAGCTGCCAACAGCCTCATCAGTATCTCCCCAGAGTCCTGAATCTTCACACCCTCCTTCACCCCTAGACAACTCCAAGCCCACAATGCCAGTCAGTTTATCTTACACCTCATTCCAATCTCCCGCAAGAGTTTTCCCATCACACAGCACTCACTTAAGAGATCATTCTTCATTATTTTTCAACATCTAATTAGTACYACCTTATAAGTAACCTATCATGATGGATAGTATGGTAACATCTGAAAATATATTTTGCTCTTTGTTTTGAGATAATAAAAATAACAGCTGCAAAAATGCTACAAGTCTCACACCAAAGAAGCAAYTCTTAAGTACTGCTATTAAGAGATCCTTGAACAACCCTTGAATCTTCTCAACAGCCCCAAGTACAGTCACGGACAGCTGAAGCTCTTGCTTTCCCAATTCATCTCCAGTGGACAAGCTCTTCAGGAGTCTCTCACCTGCTCTTATATGATTCAATGAAGCCAACATTCGGAGCATGAAGGAAGCTGGAACAGTGATGGTGTTTCTCGTCTCTTCCAGCATTAATTCATTCCGTGTTATAACCTGGAGGCAGAGAAGGAAAAAGAAAACAGCATCAGAAATAAAAAAAAAATCATACTGCATCCATACAGGTCTGTAGATACAAAGTTCCTATGCTGAAGCCATTTTACAGGGTTCAAAATTACAGTAAGGGAGCAATGTTTTAATAATGGCCATTGAATACGGTTACACCACTTATCTGTGATAAGAAAAGTCAGACAGTGGACTCTGCCTGCAGGTATCCAATTGCCTAAGGCATATTCTAGAAATATGCCTAGAAACCCTATCATGGTTCCATTGTCCACATGCATGGTAGATATTAAAGATGAGTGACTGAGAAAAACTTTTGAAATCTTGCAAGAAGTAAARCAGACTGATGAGAGAAAGTTTCCAGATGGCAACTGTTGTAGAGAACAAAGTTCTAGCACCAGTGCTGGCCAAGAATGTGGGAAGAAAAAGAGATGAGGTTACCCTAAACTCCTACCTTCATGCTGCTTGAAACTTTTGGAGAAAATCCAAGGAACACAAGCCATTTTTTATCCCACTTCAGGAACATTCTTTAGCTCCVTAATTCTTTGTAAACAGATCTACAGCTTGCCTCTAAGTGACTTGAAAGAGCCAGCTCCTACTGTCTCAGTTTCAAGGRAAAAAAATCCACTAATGAATRCTTTTAGCTCTCTTGCCTCATTCTACCCCATGGTACTTYGTTGCCATCCTTTTCTTCCTCCATAAATTCTAAACCCACACAGTACCTTTTCTCAACTTTTAGACTATGTTCTTTTGTTATCATTAAGCACAAAAATGTATTTAGGTGGAGGCAATTTCTGACCATTTTTCAGTCTTTCCTCCCAGATCAGCTTCTGTCAGACAGGAAAATGATGCAAATCTTTTTCTCCCTGAGACTCTTCAAAAGCCTGCTCCTCTTGTGAAGAACATGTTCTAACAAATGTTTGYAGTGCCCTTCTCCCCTCCCAATCAAAGCACCTTTTTTCTGTCATTCTCACCTGTTTCCAGGCACTTGGCATAGCTGGATTGAASCCTGACATTCCCTAACAGAAGCAAACGGAGAAGATTTCTCCAGTGCATCATCAGTAACACCCCCTGACAACTGGCTGCTGAGGCTTTTTCTCTATTCAGACGTTTGTTCTCATCCCCACTGTCTTTTCCTACGGTCATGGCCTCTCTCAATTTTAAATACAGTTCTGTATTTATATGGAATTTTCCTCAAACACATTTGCCTTCTCCCCAGACCTTCCCCCTTCTATGGAAAATTCAGTTCAGGAATGTTGGACACTTACTCCAGCCAAACTTAATAGGATGAATACTACTTGATTGCTATGAATGTCTCCTGTCCCCTACATAAGTATTTCAATATGGGGATTAAATGAAAACACAAAAAAAAGATGTAAAATTACAAAGCACACTGCAATCAATTCTTCTCAAAGTTCTACATTTTTACTAAAGAAAGCATAACTAAATATCTAAATACTTTGCAATTATTAGAAATAAAGTCAGAGAACTGAAGTACAATAATTACTTTTAGCACGCATTTATATTTAGCAATAGTTCTAAACCCCAAGGGCTCCAAATCATGTCACGACTAAAGCTGYTATACAAAATAAAGAAGTGTCACTTCATGCAGTGCTGCCACTGCTAAAATAATGGGAAAGGTCCAAAACTCACAAGTGGATGGTTTGGCGTTTTTTTCCAAGGGATATGGGGTGGTGGCTAAGGGTTGTGCATTTGTTTGGTTAAAATATGTTTAGCACCACTACAGAGAAATAATAATTTGAAAACCCCCTCTCTACCATATCTGTGCTGCCCAAGAGATTTCACCAAAAACCCCCCAACCTTACCGAAATCACCCCACAACCAAATCTGTCCTAGAATGCCCCTTACAGAAAATCATATAACATTTGAATACATTGTTATGTAAATCACTCAAATATGATTACTCAGCAGTCAGCTATATGGTCACCCCAGGCCAGTTGCTATATCCAGTTATTKCTCTGAGGGCAACACGAAAATAATGTGTTACATAACTTTATACTGGACTTCTATAACTGATTTGGCTTGCAATGTTTGCTTTATTCCGTGCAGTTCCCATTTGCAAAATTAACCTTAACTCCYTTTCATGCCACTGAATATTTAATAGGATTGATTTTTACACTCCTTGTTGTTCCRTATATCTTTGTATTTCCTTCAGTTTACTTCATTCAGTTTTCCCTTCATTTATATGTTTAGAGACAGGCACTATTTTAATTTATTAATTCCTGCCAGTTATCCTTCTACATCTAARCCTTCACACTTTTTCCAGCTCCTTTCATGTACATAATACCCAGACTGTGTTACATAATTTCTAGGAGAGTTGATGAAATGCAAAGTACCTCTGTTTGCTGCCAAGGATATGAAAGTCAGCTGTTCTGAAGGGCAGCTTTTTATTTCTAGCTCATTTGCTGAACACTAAATAACTCTGCTTAATTCAATCAGTAATTTGTACCAAAGGCTTTTATGGAATTAAAGATGCAAAATTAGTAKGAAAAAGGAGGGAAGGTTCTTACCTCATCTGCAAGTTTTCTGTTAAAAATCTTGGATTCTTCCAATGGCGACCAAATTTTTATATCATAATCAATACCCGAAGAGGCCAGAACTAGAAGTAAGCAACAGTCATTCTAAATAAAATGTGTTATATTTGTTTATTGGTGCTTTCTGCCTTTAAATGGAGTAGAAGAAAAATATTTCACTCAAAGCATTTATTTGCAAATGTCAGATCTCATGCTGAACAGTTTGTAATTACCAAGTCTCCACATGAGATCTGCACTGTAGATTATATGGTTTTGAATTTATATATATATATATATATATATATATATATATATATATGTGTGTGTGTGTGTGTGTGTCGAAAACAAATGCAAACACCAAGAACCCCCTGCACTCAATTTCAATTAAAACATTAAAAGTTCAATATTACCCAATGTAGGACAGTATTCCATGTTTCCCCAAACTGTTTGAAAAAAACCCAGCCTCTTCTGATTATAATAACAACTTTACTTGATCATTTACTAATAGGCTGACTCTTCCTATACAGACATGTAAGCTATGAAAAAAAATAACACAAATGCTTTCTCTGATTGTGTCAGAGGCTGCAGAATGGTTCACATTTCCTAGCTGCATGTGATTCCTTCTACTACTTTGGTCCATCTTTTCTATGAAGGTTTTCCTCTAAATAAAAATTATTAGAATTTCTATGAATTTTATTAGTTCTTTTAATTTCACAATGCCAGTGAGAGGGAGACACCCACTTCACTCTGTTTTTTGAATAGAGACAAGTAGAGACCACATTCCAATATAACTTCCCAAATATTTCTGGCATTTCAGCAACCCTATATTTCCCCTATCACTGTCATGGAAAACATTTTATGTGCTGAAGGCAGCAAAAAAATTTATATTATTCTTATTATATCTGACAATATTTCTATAAATACTATGTCAGTGTAGTAGTTTAAATAAATTATTGAGTATGGAGGGATTTAAGAGCCAAAGGCCATTAGGAAGAGGCAAAATTAAAAGCAGTATTATCTAAATCATGGGGAAACATGAACAGTAGTTCATTAATCATTGCAATGCTCTGCTGAGCAGAGAGTTTAAGACTGAGCTTTAAAGCAGATAAGCCGGACATGCAGAGTGTGAAAATGCAGCTCTTACTGGGGTCAAAGGGGTGAGGCTGCAGACAGTTCACCACGTGGTTGTCAGCCTCCAGCAGCATGAGGTGCTCAGCAGTGTGGCGGTCCCAGATGAAAATATGGCCGCAGTCTGAGCCACTCATGACAAAGTTGGATCCCCAAAAGTTGGCTTCCTTTATCTGCAAGAAAAACAAAACTTCCTTTGTAAGACCCAGCCAGTGAAAAGCCCAAAGATTACACTCCCGTGTCTGCAATAACACTGCTGCTGCAGGAAAAGCTCTGCCCATGCAGAAACATTTCAGAAATTTTAAAGGAAACATTTAAACATGAATGATAAAAGTTCAGAAAGTTTTAGATTTCTAGAACAAAGTAGCTGCTAACAGGAAAAAAAAAAAAAGAGTTGGGGCAGAGTGAGCAGTTTGAAAACGAGTGTGAGCAGATCTGTCACTTTCTAAAGTGACCAGAATGATACTAGAGACAGGGGTGTGCAATGGAATTTTTAGGAAAAGTYTGGCTAACAGGTTAAAGTTTGTGACAGGCTAACCCCTGGGGGGATTTTCCATTTATAGAGAAAAAGGAGACAAGACAGAAGCTTATAAAAACTTGGGGGTGGGAATTAACTGGGTCTGACAGATAAAAATGGTCATAAATCAAACAATGGAATTTCTTCTCCCCCTTCACTATAGTGAATCAGACAGAAACTAAGATCTCTTAGTYCAATGTGAAAATTAAAGTTACAAATCATTGAACAAATGAAGGCATCCAGGTAGAACAACCCTTCAGCATCACCTACTACAGCAAGAGTAGATGAAAGTGCCTCACAGTCACAAAATATTATATTATATTATAAGAACAATAAGTATTATAGGTATTAGCAGAACAATGCTATTATCTGATAATAATTTATACATATTACCTATATTTTTATATGTATTTACAATTTATTTTTACATTAAGTAAAAAGTACTATTTGTATTTCTTAGATGTTATTTATAACCTTTAATTACACTTGAGTAGTGAACGTATTATCTATTCACTGTGTATTTACTAATTCAGCAGGAAAACAGAAGCAGTTGTAGCACTGACTGCAGCTGAAGAAGTCTGTCCTGTGAAACAGAGTAACAGAGAAATGATCAATACTGCAGGCCAGGAGAAATGGTAGCAGGATCAGATATCAATTTYCTTGAAATATAATGTTGATACTATGCTACACCTGCTACATTCAAGATACCATTATGATTACAGCCTGAAAGAATATGCCTTATTCAATTTCTGAGCCAAAAAAAAMMAWCYTAAAATATTTTCCTTCAAGAAGCAACTATTAGGTTTCTTGAATATAGAATAATCTTTCCATGCCAAGKCCCTTCTTGCCCTCCCTTCCTAAAAAGCTGTAACCCAAATAATGCCAAACAATTAGTCTGAATAAACAAGAACAGGTCACTTCCTTCACTAAGGGAAAAAATCTTCTTCAGAAATCAGTCCTGATTTTATTTAGAGTAGGACCTCAAAGTAACCACTGTTAAATGATACAAATTTGCTGTCCTGTGTCTTCTACAAGTGAGAGATCTGATGGGGGGGCAGAGAGAGAAGGGACATTGCTTCAATAACAGAAAACTCAGCCATGAGATGGGAGCTGAAAACTCCACAATAGTCTGATACTTGTGCTGGAGGAAAAAGCCTGGAATTTCAACTGTAGCCTTGATGTAGAATGCTTTCTTTAAGAGTCAGCAGTACCTCTTAGCAACTCTCCTAATTGACACACACAGGTCAAGAGAGGTACCTGTGCAAGCAGGAGTTTCCTGTGCAGCAGTGTGCAGAGCTCACACAGAACATTTCCTGTGCTTGAAGTTCAGTTTGGCATTTAAGAGTAACTCCAGCATAAGGAACAGAATTTTGAGCTTGAGACTATTTACACAGAAACCTACTGTGAATTATTTCCCAAGCAGTGCATCRTAATAAGGCTCCAAAGAGGGCCATGCCTGGATCCTTATCTTTGTTTTGCACAGAAAATGCATTGAAGAGAAGACAGATGTTGCCTTGCTCTGTGCTTTGCCTCTGCTATCTTGATACCCACTCATATTGGTAAGTTGAACCCTTGGTGCTTTTAGAAATACGTGCTTAATTTCCAGCATAAGTATGCCCAGTTTTATATTCCAGACTTGGTAGATCTCTGTCTGTAGAATATGTCCCAATGACTGCAGTCAGTGCAATACAAAAAAGTCATCCCGATATCTAAAAATAAGCCATTCTGAGTTGTGTAGCGAATTCCAATGCATTAATCATGCAGCAGCTTTTGTCTTAAAGCTCCTCTTAATATATATCTTCATTTTTCTGCTACATCTAAATTATCCCMAATAATAAATAACATTCAGTTTTATATTTAAATTTTCATTGATGACCTCTTCCTGCTTCCTTTGTATTCTCTTACATAACMACTGATTTTACCTAACACTCATGAAATATAATTTTAGCACCACAAAAATGAACAGATTTGAAATTCACAATTAAAACTTCAGGTTTTCAAACTCAGGCACACACTCCTGTATGTAAACACAACTTAACTCATCTATCATTTACCCTCATATTTACACTCACAGAAGTTTCTAAAAGTCACTGTTTTAAAAATGGAACTGTAAAAAAATATAAGATTGCCAAATTAAGTCCTCAAAAGTAAGGAAAAACCAGAATTATTTGCCTGCATAACCTTAGTTCACATTTTATAATATATATATATGAGAGATATATATATATGTACCTCCATATATATATATATATACACACACACACATACATATACATAAAAATTATATACATATGTATATATAAATGGTTCATGTAATTGACAACACAATATTATCTCTGGGCTGCTCAGGTGTGTGGGAAACAAAACTTTTTTTAAGCTGTCTCCTTCACAAATTTGAAAGGGGAATATTATCAGCCCTTGCCTTGCAGGAGTGAAGGTATCACTCAAACCAGCAGATTAAAATGAYGTTTGCAACCATAGAGACCAACAAGGAAAATAAAATTACATTTTCTCTCATTTAGTGCATTCTTTGCCACAGGTGCTTGTGTGAGACAAAAGCAAATAGACCAACCCACATCCCCAAGAAACCAAACAACAAAATCTGTTAATCTATATAATAACAGATTTAAGACAGAATTATGACTTCTTAGACAAGCTCACTTTTGGTATCTCCTAACTACAAAGTGCTTGATGCCAGAACTTTTAAACTAATGGGAGTTTGAGCAATTAAAATCGATTTCTGAAATACAATGCAAAACTCCTTGCCATTAATCAAAGTTTCTTCTAAGCCCTGTTGCTTATGTAAACTGAAATATGCATTTACTGAACCATTTTCTCCAGTGTAATCAAATCTATTCACACAAACCCTAGAAAATGGCTTTTTGGGGTAAAGAAGACTACTCCTCCCATCAGCTGTAAAGTAACACACCAGCTACTTCYACAAAATACCACCGAGAACTTCACATCTCCAAAATAATTCAAAAACCAAAAGAAGAAATAGCAAGGAAAGCAGCATCTGTTTGTCATGCACCATTGCTTTACAAACACAATAACTGCATTTTTCTTAAAATATGGTATTTTGTATGAAACGGACAAGGCATCTAGCAAATTATAATTTAATAACTAGCACTAATTCCTTTTCTTAATTCAGAGCTGCCAAGMGTTTTCAAAACTATGATTCAATCCTCACTTTCCCTTCCMAGCTCTTTAAAGTTAAAGATAAAATAATAATTTTGAACAGCTTGGAAGGGAAAGTGAGGATTAAAACATGCTTTGCAAAGTAGGTACATTCTATACCACTTAAGCTGAGAGAAAAAATGAAAAAGAAGGAAAATACTCAAATTTTTAAAGATTATTAAGGGGAGAGAGTCTTAAACTCAGGAATATCTAAATGCCTTTCACTATTACAAGAGTCACGCTAATTGTAATTTTCATTTAGAGCAAATCCTGTGTCTCCCAAGCGAATACAGAAGASAAAGTGCTTACAATGTATCACAATATCCTTTTTGGCAAGCACAGCAATGGGGCAGCCACGATTGAATTGAATCCACCAAACCCCTGCAGTCCCCAAAGCACACAGAGTTTGTACCATGGTCCGGGAGTTGCGGTGACCTTTATAAACCATCTTTATTAAAGGGCGCCTGATATTCAGTGTTTCCAGCTCTTCCATCTCTTTCCTTTCCTTCCTCCTCCTGAAGAGCTCCTGGATTCGGGCGACAGCAGATCGTCTGTGAATTCCAGAGAGAACARACGCTGAGAGGGGCTCTCAGAAAGGACTATCAAATCATAATTAGCCATTCCAACACATTCTCCATGAGTTTGAAACAGACATCAACATAATCCCAGCTGTAAAAATTACAGACTTGAATTTTTTCCATCCTGGCTTAGAACAAGAATAGCATGCAAGACAGTGGMATGTCAAGTGATGCCAGGTTTTATTCCCCCTCTGTAGAACAAACTTCAGCTGTTGGCAAAATTCACATGCTATTTTATTTTCAGTGCTAGGGATATCCTCCACCCATGAGGTAGCAAAATTCTGAAGTGAAAAAAAATCTATGCCAGAACAGAAGTTTTTAAATTTTAAAAAGCCGTTAAGGATCTAATGTGTCTCTCAGCGTGATTTGGTAAGATTTTTTCAATATATTTCTCTTCATTATTTCTGTACGACAAGATTCAAGATTTAGATAAATTTTTAGAAGTTCCTACTAAGGCAAAAGATGATTTGAGATCACTTATTTGAGCAGCTATCCCATATGTTAGCAGTGAGGTTTACAACTGGAGATTTTAACAGAGAGAAAAAAAAAAGCTAAATTAATACTTTTTTGGTGAATGTTTAACTCCAGGAGGTTATTTTGTTATTAATCTGTGAAAAGACCTTGGTGTCAAATTTTTCCTGTTTAGCTCTTCAGTTTGCAGATCCCTGTTACTCCAGCTATAACCAGTCACATCCCAGTTCTTTTTCTTCTGTTATTCCTTGTCAGGATTGCTGTTGAGGTCCTGAACACAGTCCAATGTCATTCTCAAGAAGAACCAGGTACAGATTTTAGCAGAATACAAGGAGTGAAACTATTAYGGCATTTTATATGATCCTAAAAAAGTAAACTGATCCAGAACCTCACTACACTGCTACCAGAAAGTAACCTGAATTTGTTTTTAAGTTATGTTGTCCAGTGTTTTTAGTCAATGATCCTGAAGACTCCAGCAACAAGTCCTCTACTCTGGAAGAAAAGCCCCACCAGATCTATCTCACAACTAATTCTCTCAGCCAGTGGTCTGCTTAGATTTTTGTCTAATTTTTGCCATAGGAGAAAGTTGCGCCAAAAAGTTAAGGTGAAATAAGTTTTATGCTACAGCTAGACAAATAAGGAAAAGGAGTGTAAGTCATTAATACAGATTTATTTATTATAAAACCAAAAAAACCACAAAACCACACACTGTCACACTAAGATCACTTAATACAGCTAAGCTTTTAAAATAYATTTTAATCCTTTTTTATAGAAGAGATTTGAAAGCTCCCGCCAATAAATCCATTTCATAGTGTGCTATTAATTACAATTCATTCCTTAGACGTTTGCCTAGCGAACAGCACCAGAAAAAGTAGACTACTACTACTTAGTGAGAGTTTCCTATCCCTTCAGTCTCTAGGCAATTTTCTGCTTCATCCTTCTTTATACTGCAGTAAATAAATTCAATTTATTTTTTAATTAGTCCTTATAATACACAGAGTTGCAACTTTAATCTTCGACAGATTTTAGAGGGTTCTTCACAGGGTCTTCATACAAGGGAAAGAAAAAGAAGCACATGTTCTTTATCTACTGTGCTTTAAAGATCACAAAATTTTTGCCCTCACCAGTTTACTTCTACACAAAGGAAAAAGGATGGCATACACTTGACAGGCTGCATCAAACACCTACAGAAACTTTAAACCATTATCTGTGCATAGTTGGGTTTATACTTGCTTTTAAAAAAAAAGATGGGGTTTGTGTGAGAAAATAAAAGCTCCTATCATTTACTCTGATGGCTATTTGTAATTTTGGTGTATTAATTTTCATTAGTCAAAGATGTGCAGTGAAGAGGCTGAGAAGTTAAACATCATTAGGACTGACAGAGCAGTAGATTTGTCCAACTATTTCAGAGGGGCTGCATGCTGGATAGCACTAACAAGTCTTGGTATTAGAAGATGGTAATAAAGTTGCTAATTGGTGAAGCAAAGTAGTTTCTTGCATCATTTTTCATCCCAACCTCGCTGGAAAAATTTATCTCCTCTTCCTTTCCCTAGGCTGAAATATACAGACATTACAAAAAAACTTCAATACTATCCAGCAGTCAGAATCATGCATTTTTAAATGAAAGCAGAAGCACTGAAGCAACTTTTGGTTAAAACTGTCTTTCAACTAAATGAAGCTCTGACTTTAACTCCTGATTTTGGGCCTTATTTTAAAAGGCAGGAGTGGATTTATATTTAGTTATCTTGTGAAGTCAATGATTACCTTCCACAGGGAGAAGGCAGCCAAGCACACATGGCTCTAACTGTGACACTGTGATCGAACCCTTAACAACACCCTGCAAAATGCAGCAACGTGGCACAGGCAAGTCTGCTCCAGAAAACATCAATATGAGCCCWATTTAATGGCAGTTCAGAACAAGGAACATTACAGACAAAAAAGCTTCTCTTTGAGAGGTATTACTTGTTAATAACTACAGATTTTCTATACATTTCTTTAAGTCATACACACAGAAAAATTTCCAAATCTGACATATCTGTTTTCATTTGTATTTGTGACAAGCAATTCCTGTCTTTGCCAACACAAACACAGACAGCAGCCCAAAGACTTGAAACATCAGTGGGTACAGAAGTGTGCTGTAAAATTCGTGCTGTTCTGAGGTTCAGCCTGAGCTGAKCCTGGCTGTGAGCTGCTGCTTCCCTTCCAAACTGCTCCTCCAAGAACAAAATGTCAGACAATGGAATTTATGCACATCGTGTCAGCRCTCCTCAGGAAACCCCATCAACTGATACAGTTCTAGGAAGTATTCACAGAGCAYGGCTTTTTCCTAGGATCAGCCAGGTTTGAAGTCTTCAAAGTCAATTGTTGTAATTAATTATCAAAAGTTTATTTAAATTAAGCTCTAGATGAATGGAATAGGGATTCAGAAGTGAAGCCTTTTTTTTTTAGTTAAACACAGGTTCAAAACAAGCAAACAAAAAAACCAAACCCACAAAAATCCTGTGATGCAGACTGATCCACAGCTATACATTACACAAGGAGAGAAATGGAAAATACATATACATGTAAGTTAAGCCTTAAAATGAATAAATTGCCATACAGGGCATTTTTTGAATATTTAAAAATTCTGAAGCGTTTTATTAAAACATTGTGCAATAAAAATCTGTGCAATTTGAACAATTAAATAACTGGTTTGTTTGTTAAAAGACAATAATGTAGTGGCTGCCATAAAACTAATCTGGTACCTGAGATAACCCTACTTCTTCTAAACAACATTATCCAGACTGACCATCTCCTGAGTCAGGCTGCAGCAGCTTCCTCGCTCCATCYCTCCTGTCTCWGCTCTGCATTGAGTATTGAGCTCACTATCGATTCCTTTAGTACTAAGGATTTTTGTCACTTCTTAAGTTTCCAGATTTACTCACACACAGACCAACATGGTCTCTTTTTTTCCTGGCACACAGSTCTGGGCTGGAAAGGAYCTTAAAGATCATCTTGTTCCAAGTCCCTGCTACGAGCAGAGACATCTTCCACTGGACCAGTACAGAGTATCACAGACCCTGATCCCTTCTCTTGCGCTTTTYCAAGTTCTTATTTTTCCCCACCTCTTGTTGCCATCTTCTCCTTTGAATTATTTTTCCTATCCAAAACAACTGCAGTGAACCCAACGCTTATAACCATTAACTTAAAATCTTATTTCTCCAGTGCCTTATGGTCATTTGGACAATGCTCTCAGGCACATGGTGTGATTCCTGGGGGTGTCCAATTGTGGGTCCCTTCCAACTCATGGCATTCTATAATTCTAATATTATTTTGTGTGTATCTAAATGGTTACAGCAATACCTTGATATAGGTCTCTAATTTCTACACTGATCTTGTAAAGGAATTCCCCTTGCCAGCCACCTGGGTCCTGCCCAATAATTCCAAAGGCTTGTCTTTACTGCCATATTAAAACAGATTCCTTGTCTAAATACCAATATTTGATTATATTTCTGATATTAATTACCAAATAACCTTTAGAAGCCTCTAAGCCTATGGAAGAGATTTACTGCTGCTGTCAAATATCAAGCATTAAGATGGCTCAGCACCAAAGGCACAATCATCATGTTAACAGCACACTGACACTACCCTAAAGCCCAAGTTTTCACTGCTAATCATACAAAAAGAAATGTTTACTGTAATGCACTCCCAGGTAATTTCCCAGCTTTCAAACACAATCAGTGTTCCAACTATTCTCAGCTGCAAAACATTTTTAAATTTTCACCCGATATGCTGCTGAATTTTTGGTGACAAAAATCAGAGAAGACTGYTAAAAAATTCTACACTGAATGTATCATTTGTTTTATTTTAAAATAACAACATGAACATAATATTCCCCTGGGCTGGGCTGAAGAGCTAAAGAACTCCTTGGTAAGCATGTTGAATATAGAAAGAATGCCTACTGTGAAATTTAAAGTACAAAAGGCACACAGATTCCTGATCCTCTRAGGAAACTGACAATTTAAATCCAGGTATTTCAATTGCAGCTAAAATGGAAATGTAAGACAAAGCAATACAGATCTGCACTATTTTCCTGTAGCAATTTAAAATGCAGGACTCAGGCTAAGTCTTTGATGGAACCTCATCCTGCATCTTTGCCTTTCCAGCCACACAAAGCCAAGATGTCMATTTTCATCATTAGAATGACTTTGGGTCATTTCCCCTCTGGACGSCCTTTGGCTGAAATCACAGCAGAGAGTTTCTCCCTCTTAGGGCATGTGGCCAAACATAATTACCCAAATTGCCTTATGCAGTCTTACAACAGCTTCCCTAAAGTATTTCAATGAAGAATAGGAGATCAAGTGACTTTTTCATTTAACTTCATTAAAAGCAATATTGTATAAAATTTAGCACGTATCTTGTTAAATGTGTATTACCCAATATAGCTCTAATGATTCTGCTCAGTTCTATAACCTTGTTCAGGCTAAACATATAAATGGTCTTTGATCCATATAGTCTTATAT